CTGTGAGCTAGGCTTTGGATTCATGTTGTTGGTGTTTCCTGGGCTTTCTGAGATGATGAGTGAGTTTCTATTTTTCTTCTGTGGGAGTGGTTTTGTTTGCTCATAGTTTTGTAAAGCTGTTTCTCTGGAGGAAAATCAGTGGTGACCGTACGGAAGGCACAGTTGGGTTTTTAGGATGTCTGTGTGTAATAGAGTGTGGGTGACTGATCTCTACAGAATGGAAACAGTTGTGTCACATACAGAGCACGGTGGTCCCCCAACTCTTCTGTGGTCGTTTCCACATCCTCTTTTTCCCGTCTTGAGTGTGGACCATCCTGTGTGGACCCTGAGGTAATTAGGGTTAGGTTGCTCCGTCTGTCCTGCCCTCTGGGGGTGAGTCTGTGGGGCCCTGTTGCCTCCATTTCTCATGACTGGGACTGTATAGAGATGACTATGGCTGCCTGGGACTTCAAGGAAAATGCTTTGAAAAGGTACTTCTTTGGTGTCTCATGTTTTATCTTAGAAAGATCTTGGTGATTTTTCTTTCTACTTCATAATATAGCCATGTTTGCTCTAATGTAAAAATAATAACTCCCCCCAGAAAATCTTTGGGTAAAATCAGTATCCCAGGGAGATAGACTCTGGGCTCCCTGACTGACTAAATACCTTCTCTTTGGGGATTTGTGGATTCTAATTTAGGAAGCAAGGACTTGTGTAATCATAGAATTCCAAAGTATTTTCCATAAGCATGTACTTCTGTGGCTTTATAAATAAGTTCCTTTTTGCTTTCTCTTTCACACTGATATTTTTGTTCTTAACAAGATTGGGGATTATTTAATACCTGTTTGAATCCTTATAACAAAGGGATAACAGGAGAACATCATAATTATGGGCTTGGTTTTGGTACCATAACCTACTTCTCGTACATGTTTCCACTGATTTTCAATAGAACACTTGGGTTGTACCGTTTCATGAGCTGAAGAACCTACATCAGCCCTTGCTTTTCCCAGGGTCTCATCCACAGTTACTTCTCGGTTATGGCCAAATTAGTTGGAGCCTAATTCTCTGACTAATTTCTCCATCGCATCAGATTGATATATATGCACATATTGATTAATGATTGGGATGAAAAATTGTATTGAATATTATATTAAATGATGCCATATTTATGAGGCACTCCATGGGAAGGTAGAAGAGTGTATTGATATGACATGAAAATGTAGAATGTATTGTTAGGATTTTCTTATACACTTCATATTTGAGGCTTGGCTACTTCAGGCTGCTAGAAGAAGGAGACATCACCTACTGCTGTCTACTCTCTCTTCCTGGGTTTCTGCAGAGGTCTGGCCCTGTGCCTTGGAGGGCTCTGCTCTGCAGCTTGGCCAGCCACCCCCTTGGCATGGCAAGGGTGTGTAAGGATGTGCACTCGTGGAACCTGTGCCTACCATGCCTCAGGTACCTGGGACCCCTGGAATTCCCTCCCCAAACACCCTGTGTCTTCTCTGGGTCATCCCCATGGAGTCCACCCGTAGTGTGCCTACCTGCTCTGTGAACTGGCCAGGGCTGTATGGAGGGGTGTGGACTTGGATGCACGGACTGGGGTGTCTACCTGTGCACACGCTCTGGTCCCCTCCCAATATGGGATGGAGCAGGGGGAGGGAGGGCTGGAGAGAGAGGCTTGGAGGTGAACAAAGCTAGATATAGCACAAACCACATGGTGGGACTGCTTTGTGCAGGTCCCAGTGCAGGGACAGAGCTACCTGTGCTTGGACGGACACGGACATTGAACACCAGGTGCCTGGATGAGCTAGCTTCCCCCAGTGCTGGGCTCCTCTACCGCCACCGTCCCCAGAAATGGACCCACAGGATGTTCCGACATTGTCTGGGGTGCATCTGCTGCGTGCCACCTTGCCTGCGCCTGGCTTCTATTGTGGAAGGCAGCAGTCACAATGTTGGGGAATTCCTCAGGAGTAAGAAAGGAATTCCTCAAAGTCATGGGAAATTCCTCAAGAATAAGTATGTGTTTAGTAGATGTGATGTGTCTACAAAGCAGAAAAAAATGCTTCCTTCCCTGCACTGGGCCCTAGGCTTTGAGGAAGGCACCTGGGTTCTGGTGACAGCTCCTCTGTCCCCAACTGTCACTTCTTCTCCTGTGCTTGCCCTGGGTATGGAATTTCCTGCAGGACAGGAAGGCACCACTGGACAAAGTCAGTCCTTCCTAGAAGAGGGGCTTTTCTTGGGGCCAATACGCTGCTCATTATAAATTCTTATTCTTAATTGCTACTTTTATAATTTAATCCGTGTTGAAATTTCTCATTCTAGGTCTGTTAGAAAATTGCTTTTATGCCTCAAATAAGCATTTTCATTTTATCTTTAACAAACAAGTAGCTTTATATGCGTGTTCCACGCGCCACTGTAGTCATGTTTGTGATATGCCGATGTTTCCAAATATGTCGTAATCACCAAACACCAGTGAGATTGTCCTGGGGAAGATCTTCACAGTCGCCAGTGTTTTCATGTGATTGTCATATAAAGCTGCGGGGTGCTGCTGCAGTGGGTGGACAGGGCTGCTGGAGGTGGGGATGGCCTGCCAAGGCCTCTGGTCACCCCAGGCTCCGGCTTACTTCTGGGCATGAGTGTCGCCATCTCCGTGCACCGCCAGGCCATGGCTGGAAGCTGCTGTGGAGAGGGCATTAGCCGGTCCAGGAACAACAGACGTAATACAGGCACCACTGCACCCAGGCAGAACGGGGGACAGTATGTTATGGCTTATTAATTTATTGGGTGAGTTAATCCTTTTCCCTTCCTCAATCATTTTATTTTATGTGGAAAATTCAATCTGAAAAATAACACAGTGGAATAAATCTGTGACTCTTTATTGTTGCTGGTATTATTTTAAAGGTTTATTTTGAGTTTTGCTATAAACCATTTTTTAAAAATCACAAGGGACGTGGGTAAGTGGGTTTTGAATCTGTCATTATAGTCCTCACGCTCTGGTCCTGCTCCCAGCACTCTCTCCTCAGGGCTGTCCCCACTCTGGCTCTTCCACAGCCATCTGGGTGGGAGCCCTTTGTGTAACTCCTTGGGTAGTATTTCTCCTGTATGATTCCCGGCCACCTCCAACCACAGTGATGGTTCCCTTTGCATTCCTATTCTCGGACCCACACTCAGGACCCACATTGTCTCCTTGTCCCCCTTTGATACCAGGCTGGGTTTTGGTCCCCATATGTCTAATGCAGAGATGGTGGGTAGATGGGTAGATTCCTTCCCTTCTTCTCTCCTTCCTTCCTTCCTTCCACAAGTGTTTACTAAGCCCTTGCTACATGCAGGATGTGTAGGTTGGGCCCTCCTCACAGGGGTGTGGGAGACGGGGCAGCCCAGGAAGGGAAGGCCACAACCAGGGGAGCCGCCCACCGCTGCTGGAGCCAGCAGTCTGAGGCACCCTAGTGTGCTGCACCCGAGACAGCCTACGTGAGGAGTGACGCCTGGCTTTGGAGGAGGATGTGTGCAGGGGCTCTGGGAGAAGTGACTGATCAGAATCAGCTCAGAGTTGGTCAGAAATCCCAGAAGCCTCTAGGCTTGAATGGGAAGAATGGAATTACAGTCCCGGGAAGCACATAGGGGTGCCCAGAGGCAGAGTGGCGGGTGCTAACAGAGGGGTGGGGAGGGGAGCCTGAAGGACACAGGGCAAGCTGGACAGGGAGGGCTGGGGGGCAGCGGGTGGCTCTTACCCTCTTCCACAGATGGCTGTGGAAGAGCCAGGGTGGGGACAGCCCTGAGGAGAGAGCGCTGGGAACAGGACTGCAGTGTGAGAACTAGAGTGCCAGGCAGGAGGGAGTGGGGGAGGGTCGGTCAGGTGCTGCAGAGATGTCTAGTGAGATGGAGACTGAGGGTCCTTGGGATGGAGAAACTAGGAGGCTCGGGCAGAGCATTTTAGGGAGGGATGGATGAAAAGTGGAGACAGTGGGTACACAAGTTCTTAAAGGAAGATTCTGGGGCAAAAAGGAAGAGGGAAAGCGAAGTAGTTAGAGGGGTGTGGGCCGTCACTTTCTCTGTCGGATGCCTCCTGGGCCTTCCAAGTAAATCCATCCCTCTCGCTGGTCCTTCGTCCCCTCCCCCATTTCATCAGTTTCCCTGTGACTGTGATGTTCTCTACATAATCCCGGTCTGCTGCAGTTGTTTCTCGGGTGCACTCATGGGGCTCAGCGGGGACACTGTCCCAGCACTGGGAACGGGAGGATGTGGGGGGCCTCTCTTGATTTGTGTTGATGAGCCCCCATGCCTCTGGTACCTTAAAGTTAAACTGTGTACTGTCTCATAAATTTAAAGTGAATAATAGGTTGGGATTTAGTACGTGTAGTCCAAGCAAAATGCTACATGTTGAATTAGTCAGGCTGTTTTATCAATGGGCATTAAAAGGCCTCACGCCAGGGCCTTGCAAGCTTTCAAAGGCCCAAGAAAATGATTCCGGCATGAAAAAAAAATTAGACTCCAAAGTACTGAAAGAAAACTGAATGAATGGTTACCTGTCTATAGGACACAACAATATGGCCCTCACAACTCAGCTCTTTTGAAGTTATTTTAAATTGTGTTCCATGGGGTGCAGGTGTATTGCAATGCCTCGCACAGGAAGAATAAGGATGCCTGTTCTTAGACCAGGATTGCCTATTTTTTCTGGCATCTGGTGCGTTTCTCTCTGGCGAGACCCAAGCTGTATTTCCACATGCAGTCCCAGCGGTGGTTTGATTCATTTCTGCATACTGTTTCCTGCAAAGTTCCAGGTACATGTGTTTAATCCACAATAGCTTGAGGTTGCCAAGCTGTTTGTCTTCCTCACCCCATGACTGGATTTCCTGAGAATGTCCTGTCCCAAAGGGCTCTGGAACATAGACTTTTTAAGCATTGGACTCATTTTCGTGAGCACTTATTAATAAAAGTTTTCTGATGCCTTTTGAGATGCTTGCGGTCAGTGACTTCAGGCCTCTTTATCCAGCTTCACCGGTGTGCTCTTCCTTCCCCAGGCAGACGCGGCCCCTAACGATGCTGACTCCCTCCTGAGAAGCAGGATCACTTGGTACAAGAAAAGGCCTTCTCTGAGGTAATGGGGCTGGATCACCCTAGCACCTTCTAGCCTTTTCTCAGAAGCAGCTGACCTCCTCCACCCTCAGCTCCAGGAACCCCTGAGATATCTCTCATTGTATGTAAAAATATTTTATTTTTGTCAGCACATTTTTCTTTGGGGCAGCTCCATGGTTTTATTAATATTATTAATAGATTTTTGAATGAGGCTGTGACCCCAGAAGGAGCCACTACCTGCCTGCTTTACCAGGTCACCTCTGCTTTGCTACAGCTACACCCTGCTGAATGGCAGGTCCCCATGCAGTGTCTGAGCTCTCCCAGTTCTAGCACATTCCAGGCCTTGCTGTCCATTTTCACTCCACTTTCACGTCAAGCTCAAATTCTTGACTTCCGCTGGAGACAACACTGCTTGCTTCATCCCAGGAGCGCCGGGCCTCGTGGTGCCGTGGGTGACATCCTCCGAGCATCTCCTACGAGCTGTCTGTGCCTACTGAGCCTGCCCTCTGGGTCTGGACCTGCCTCTCCCTGGCCCCACCTCAGTGAGTCAGGCCCAGACAGTCCCCCTTCTCCCCTCTGCGCTGAGTGTTCTCAGATATGCTCCTGCCTGCCTGCTGGTCACTGCTGGCTGCCCTCGGCTCATCCTCTCCCCTGTGGACCTTGGATGCAGCCTGCTCTCCAGCCTGCCCTCTGTCTTCAGTCTGTGTTCCACGCAGGTGCCAAAATGTCCACAAAGAATGAAGATCTAACCATACCCCACCCTATGACTTAACACCTTTAAGTGATTCTCTGCCACCTGCAAATTACAGTCCCAGCTCCTCAGCAAGCCTCTTCATGGCGGGGGCACGTGTAGCCTCGCGGCCTCCCCTCTTGGCACGGCCTTCAGTTTATGCCTGAGAATTTGACGTTGCTGGATCCTCTCCTGCCGCCTATTCCAGGCTGAGTTAGGGCTCTGTCTTCCGTCCCGCTCTGGGCTAGCTCCTCCCCAGGACGCTCCCCATCCAAGTCTAACTCTCCGCGGACGTCCCCACTTTCCCCAAGGCTGCTGGGCTCCTGAGGCCCGGCCGGGGCCTTTATGCCTACTTTTGTTCCCAGAGCCAAGGGTGGTTTCAGGCCTGGGGTAGATGTTCAGTTTATAATTGTTGAATGTGTCAGTGAGTGAATAAAGAAACGAATGGTTAACTGAAAACATTTTACTGAAACTTGTATTTGTCATCAGAGCACGGGGCGATTTCTAACAGCTAGCATAGGAGAGTGACCATTTGCCAGACAGCATGCTAAGCATTTTTCCTGTGGCCACTCATTTCACCCTCATAGCACCATCCATGACAAATGCTGTTGTCCTCATTCCCATTTTGTCAAATGGGGGAACCGAGGCTGTGCTTTTATCCAACGTGCCATCTGTGTTGAGGGACTTCCTGACTTGGATGGACAGCCTTTCACCTACTGGTGCTACACAGGCCAGTCGGGGCTGGCTCTACCTTGGGATTTCTGTGTTACTTGAGGGCATGATGGGGTTGCACTGATTTTTGTTGGGAGTGTGTGTGTGTTGTAATCTTGGGTGCATCCTTTACCTCCTTCCCACCTGACATCCTCACTCCTTTAAGTCGTGTGGCCCTCAACGCCCATCCTGAGGCTCGGTGCTTGCTCCTTCTCCACGGTCCTGGGGGCTGATGCAGATTCAGAAAGGCCTCTGCTGAGGAGACAGGACACCCCCATCCCCAGGCCTTTTCCCAGAGCAGTTCTGGGGCAGGAGTAAGGCTAGACCTGTGGGGCTCGGCCCTCCCCTTTATAGTCTGTTACAGCAAGGAGGGGTCTGAGATCAGCTGGCTCCTTGTCTGCCTTGTGCAGGTGGGGAAACTGAGACTCAGGGAGGAGATGCGTCCAAGATCACTCTGCCCAGTGGTAGAGGCCGCTGGCCTTGGACCTATGATTAAACATTGTTTGTCCACAGTTAATTCAGGATTATATCTCAAGATACATGCTCTATAAAATTCAGTCTGGCATCTTTCTTTTCTTCTCCCTGCCTAATGGTCAAACAAGCCCAATCTTGTAACTGAATGAATGAGCAGCTGGCAGTGTTCAGCTGATTTCGTAATGCCCTTATTTTGTTGATGATAAACTAATGTAAGTAACTGATTGGCCTGAAACTGGTGATTGGGAAACATTTTAACCCTTTCTTTTCTTCTTCTCTATCATGAAGACTTAAAACCCACTTCTGAGACAGAGTTCATCTGCCAGGCTGCAAGGCTTCAAGCCTCCTGTCTTATTTAATCATCTGAACGTAGTTTAAAAGTATGTATGGTAATAATACTGGTAATCTAGACTAATTTGAGAGAAGGCCTGTTTATGGGAATAAAGGGTCAGAATTACAGGATATTTAAGGAATGCAGTTTTACTGCTCTGGGGAAGGTTTCAAGGCTTGAGCCAGGCTTAGGGATCAGCATCCTGGTACTTGGGGTAAAGTGAAGAGAATGTGAACGGGTGTGTCTCGCATGCTCAGAAATTCTTTTCTTTCCCGAATTTGTTTTAGAAAGACATTGTAATATTTTTCATACCTTTTAATGTACCTTCTTAAATAGAACATTTTCCAGTTAATATTCAAATGATCACATCATTAGAGTCTGAATGATTGTTGTGTTAAAATAATTCGTTTGCATATTTACTTTTGTTCTAAACACTATAGTATTTTAGTGACTTCGTTGTATAGCTAAAGCAATGGGCGTGTTCTCCTTCTAGATTTGCTGTATTAGGCAAATACCTAATCTGATTATACTGCTTGCCATGTATGTAGACAAAGCCTTATGTAATTAAATTAGTAAGTTACCAGGACCTCAGCTGAATATGTCATCCTGTCACTGACCAGTATCTGTTGTAGCTGATGCTGTGTTGGTGTGTGGCCTTTGAAACCACTCAGGGGGGCTGTGGAATTTTTTCTCTTTTTTCCTTTGTGATTAGATTCATACAATACTCATTTTAGACATTTTAGCAAGTATATAAAGTCCCAGACAAGGGGAAACCCATCAAACAACAAGAATCGACCTAATTTTGGCATAGTTATAATTTCTTTTAGTCTTTTTTCGTACATTTCTATGTACCTATATCATATCATACAAGCAATTTTGTATCTCACATTATAAAATGAAGGCATGACCTTTGAATCGACCTAGAATTACGGGAGACATTGTCAAGTGGGTGTTGGTGGCAGGGTAGGGTTCGATGTGAGGAACAAATCCACACAAGCAAAGGAAAGCTGGTTTAGGGGTTAGTCTACTTTGGATGTAGACTAGATTTGGGGGAAATTTAAGTGGGATGCAAGACTGGAAATGTATATTGAGACAGATGATGGAAGATTTTTTTAATCTTAAATTGTCGAGTTTGAACTCAATTCTGTGAAAAATCTTCATCCCCAACCCCCAACTCCCCTTTTTTCTAACCAGAAGCCAAACATGATTACATTAATGATGCATTAAAAATGAAATTCATCATTTTGACTTGGGGTTGGGGGGGGACAGGTGGGGTGTCAGTATATTTAGTTTCAGAGATTTGCTGGAATAATAACATTGTTGTGTTTGTCTTCTGTTTCCCATTTCTGTAGGAGAATATGAAAGTGTCACTCAGATTTGTTTGTTTCATAGCTCTACTGATTTCTTCTCTGCAGGCTGGTAAGTTAAGCATTTCCTTGTGTTCTTGTCTGCTAAGAATATCTATTATTTAGAATACATGAAGTAGCTTCCATAATTTTCTTACCCATTTCTGATGAATCAATCCCGGGACACAGAACCCCCAGTCATAGACCTGTACTGCTGGAAGTGCCTCTCGGCATTTTCACTTCTCATTCTCTCACGTACAGATTGGGAAACGTTAGGAGCCCGAGGTCATGTAGCTAGTTTTAGAGCAAGAACTAAACTCTAGGTCTCCAATATCTAGCCCAGGCTTCTTCCCACTTTCTTGCTAATTGAAGAGTATGATACAGGAAATTCTGGCTTTCATTTGGAAGAGGTGAATGCATAGTTTTTATGAACCCACTATGAAACCATCAAGAGACTGTTTGTTTCGTTTTGTTTTTCTTTCTATTTCTTCATTTTATCTGTGTGCCAGGTACGAGTTACTGGGGATAGAGCAGTGAATAACCCAGACAGAAATACATGCTTGCATGAGGTATATATTCTTGTAGGGGAGAGAACCAATATATCAGATAAATAAATATATATTATGTCATACGGTGATAAGTATAGGGAGGAAAAACCCAGGAATGTATAAAGTCTTGGGATTGGAATGGGCAGAAGGTACATTTTTGATAGCGGCCAGAAAAGGCCTCACTGAGAAGTTGGCTTTTGGGTTGACTGGAAGGAAGAGAAAAGGGGAGCTGTTTAGATGCCAGGTTGGGGTGTGGGAAATATTCTAGGCAGCATATGCAAAGGCCCTGAGGCCAAGAGTACTTGGCCTGCTGTAGAAACTAAAATACCTGGATGGCTGGAGCATAATGAGAGATGAGGGAAGTCATAGGGACGAGGCTATTTGGGTGATGGCAGGGATGGTGGAGAATTGATTAGGTAGAATCTTGCAGACCTTTCTAAGGACCTTGGCTTGTAGCCTGCCTGAGATGGAAAGGCTGTAGGGTTTGTGGTTCAGAATCAGAAAAGTGATCTGACTTAGATTTTGGTTCCTGTCTTGAGAATAGATCCTAGGGAGACAAAGGCAGAAATAGAGAAACTGGTCAAGAGGCTGTCATGAAAATCCAGGCAAGCCATGATGGTAGCTTGTTCTAGGCAAGAAATACTGATGGCTTGTCCAAGGGTGGTGAGGAGAAGTGAGAAGTAGTCAGATTTTGAATATATTTTGTGAATAGAGCCCACAGGGATTTGCAGAGGGATTGGATGTGAGGTTTGAGAAAAAGAGAAGAATCAAAGATGACTCCAGAGGGTTTGAGGCTGAGCAAATGCAAAGTGGAATTGCCACTGATGGAGTGGGGCAGATCAGGTGTTCAGACTGGACAGGTTAAGTTCACTATTGATCAGCTGTCCATTGTCTAAATGGTGACATCAACTAGGTGGTCTAAAGCCTGAGGGAGAGGTCTGGGTTGGATGTATAAAACTGGAGACCTCAGCAAGCAGCTGGTATGAGAACCATGAGTCTGAATGGAGTCATGGAGTGTGGCTAGAAAAGATAAGAACTTCAAGGACTGAGCCCCATAGCTTTCTAAGGGTTGATGGCCAAGCTTCCACAGGTCAGAGAACCATTGAAAGACTTACCTGAAATATAGGAGGAGAACAAAAAAGTGTCCTAAAAGCCAAGGGAAGAAAGTGTTTCAAAGATGAGAGAATGAAAATAACATGTCGAATTACATGTCAAATAAAGCGATGTCTGAGAGTTGTTTATTTGATTTAGCAGCTTAAAAGTCATGGGTGACCTTGACCAGAAAAATTTTGGCAGAGTGGTGGGACAAACCTCACATAACTTGGAGAGTATGTTCAGCTGAGGACTTACTTAAAGTTTACTCATTTGTATCACTACTATTGTTGTTGCTTCTGCTACTCCTAGTAGCTAAATGTTTAGGAGTTCTCAGTCTGTGCAGGTACCATTCTAAGTTCCTAGCTACTTTTATTCCAATTGTAGTTTTTTAATTGACAAATAGTAATTGTCGATATTCATGGGGTACATAGTGATTTTTCAATATATATAATGTACAGTGATCAGACCATGGTAATTAGCATATCCATTATCTCAATGGTTTATCTTTTCTTTATGTTGGGAATGTTCAGTATCCTCCTTCTAGCTATTTGAAACTATATAATGTATTTTTGTTAACTATAGTCATCCTACAGTGGTAGAGAACATTAGAATTCATTCCTCCTATCTAGCTGTTATTTTGTATCCTTTAACAAATCTCTGTCAATCCCTCTCTTCCCCCTACCCTTCTTAGCCTCTAGTATCTTCTGTCCTACTTTTTACTTCTATAAGATCAACTTTTTTTAGCTTCCACCTGTGAGTGAGAACATGTGGTGTTTAACTTTCTGTTCCTGGTTTATTTCACTTTCAGAGCATGTTGCCGTGAATGGCAGGATTTCATTCTTTTATATGGCTGAATAGTATTCCATTGTGTACCTATGTCACATTTTCTTTATCCATTCATCTGTTATTGGACACCTAGGCTGATTCCATGTCTTGCTATTGTGAATAATGGTGCAGTAAACATGGGGGTGGAGATGTCTTTTCAATGTAACGATTTCCTTTCCTTTGATAAAGTCCCAGTGATGGGATCGGTAGGTCATATGATAGTTCTACTTGTAGTTTTTTTGAGGAATCTCCCTACTGTTCTTCATAGTGGCTGTACTAGTTTACATTCCCACCAACAACAATGTGTAAGAGTGCCTTTTTC